GCTTAAAGCTATTAGAAATGCATTGCTTAATTTGGAATGTGAACGACATCAAAACATAACACTTTTGTCTTCATTCTATCTTTTCTTCAATGAGTGTGCATGATTGTGTGTGCTTGTGTCCGAGGGAACGGGGCTTTAACAGTTGTTGAGTTCTAACCATAGGTGGTCCGATTAATGATTTAGTGTAAATATACTTTCTGTGTTCTTTAAATGCATTTCCACTTAGGTACTGCATAAACAAAATATGACATTAACATTACAAATTTAAAGATTTTAACCTACAGAATAATTCTCACTAATGGGTTTTGTGGTTAATGTTGAACAACTCAGAGAAACAAACTCCGTATGATGGTTAACAGTTGGCACCCACCTTACCCTATTCACGACCTGTGACACCTCTTCATACCTGTCACGTGCATAGCTGACCTACATTGACGAACGTTGACCTTTATGACCCAACACTGCCGCTGTTACAGGTCATTGGCTCCCTCCCTCTGCAAGCAGTCTGCGTTCTGCTGTTTATTTTGTTGACAGTTACATAGACAGATTCTTTAATACAAATGCATAAAATCGGTGATTTACAATGTGATTAGGTTGTCTGACAAAACATCCACTTGCACAGTTTGAGATCGATTGGGTCATTGGATGAAGAGATATTTACAAAAAAAACGGGTCCACATGCATTTCATGCCAAACTATAACTCACCACTCACCTCTCTCTCCTCTCTCTCACACATCATCACACACATACACACACACACACACGCACACTTTCGAAATTCCTGGATCCGCCCGTGATACGACTATATATATATTATTCATGAATTTTTAAACAATGACAAAATGCCATGAATGATTTTAGTAGTCGGGATCAGTTTTATCAAAGCACCGCATTCATTACGCGCGTTCTGATTGGTTTGTCGTATTTTAGCACATAACAAGCATCGAGAGAGGGGCCGAGTCTTCTTGAAATTTACGGAAAGGGGCGAGCGGTGACGAATGGAGTCTTCTTGGAACTTATGGAAAGGGGCGAGTGGTGACGAAAGATACCACATGCGTTTCAAAATGATGCTTAAAGAAGTGGCAGAGAAATCGCTTGTCCCACAATAATACGAGTTCGGCACGAATGTGTTATGCGCACACAATCATGGACCTACACAATGTATTTGGGCCCGATTTGGGAGCGATCACCTGTATTGCAATAGTATGGTGGTGTGTGGTCCTGTGCACAGAGCTCATGTCACAAATCAATTGAAGTTAAGCAACGTTGAGCTCGGACAGTCCTTGGATGGGTGACCCTGTTTGGCAGCTTGACTCCTGAGACCTTCTTGGACTACAGTCCTGCCCCACAACGAAACACATGTGATACATATGGTCTCACCTTAGGCAAGTGGGTTTGTGAGCCTTCAAAACTGACTTTGTTCAACCAGCAGTAAATGGGTACCCGGTGAGTTAAGTCATATGACTATAAACCTTCTAGCGCCTAACGGGCAGCTTGGGTTATTCGGGGTAATAATGTGATGTTTGTGCGCACTTTGAGCATGCCCCTTTGTGGTGTGGAGTATAGCGCGGTATAAGTACCCTCATTGTTATTATCATTAATACAGTGCAAGGCTGTCGTAACAACTGCATATAAAATGCAGCCCCTCAAATTGCAATTTCATTTAAAACCGAAAATTCCTGTTCTCGTAATTTCGGTTTTTCTCTTGTTATTTGAATTTTTTAACATGTTTTCGAATTTCGACTTATTTGCAAGCTACTCGGGGTATTTTTGAGTGAAAATAAAGTTTGATTGCTCTCCTAGCTGATTCAGGACGACCACTTCGAACCAGGCATTCAGGAAAAACTTATTTTTCTCCAATAATTGATTTAACAAGAAAAATACTCAGATTTTGGATAAGTAAAATATACTAAAAGGGAATATTAGGAGTTTGTGCATTGTAGAAATTAACTGAAATAGTGGTGACTGAAGGACGGGTTGTACAGTCAGTTAAAGACAAACTTTTGATCATTTTATGAAGGCTTCGAGAAGTATCATATACTGATTGCTCAGGTTAAGCAGGACAGGTTGATCACGACAGGTTGATCAGGACATGTTGAGCAGGACAGGTTGGGCAGGACAGGTTGAGCAGGACAGGTTGCAGAGGACAGGTTGATCAGGACAGGTTGATAAGGACAGGTTGAGCAGTACAGGTTGAGCAGGATAGGTTGGGCAGGATAGGTTGATCACGACAGGTTGGGCAGGATAGGTTGATCACAACAGGTTGATCAGGACATGTTGAGCAGGACAGGTTGATCACGACAGGTTGATCACGACAGGGTGATCAGGGCAGGTTGAGCAGTACAGGTTGAGCAGGACAGGTTGATCACGACAGGTTGAGCAGGATAGGTTGTGCAGGACAGGTTGAGCAGTACAGGTTGAGCAGTACAGGTTGAGCAGGACAGGTTGAGCAGGACAGGTTGATCACGACAGGTTGATCACGACAGGTTGAGCAGTACATGTTGAGCAGGATGGGTTGATCACGACAGGATGAGCAGTACAAGGTTGATCACGACAGGGTGATCAGGACAGGTTGAGCAGTACAGGTTGATCACGACAGGTTGAGCACTACAGGTTGAGCACGACAGGTTGAGCACGACAGGTTGAGCAGGCTAGGTTGTGCAGGACAGGTTGATCAGGACAGGTTGAGCAGGATGGGTTGAGCAGGATAGGTTGAGCAGGACAGGTTGAGCAGGACATGTTGATCAGGACAGGTTGAGCAGGACAGGTTGAGCAGGATAGGTTGATCAGGACAGGTTGATCAGGACAGGTTGATCAGGACAGGTTGGGCAGGACAGGTTGGGCAGGACAGGTTGAGCAGGACAGGTTGAGCATGGCAGGTTGATCACGTCAGGTTGATTAGGACAGGTTGGGCAGGATAGGTAGATCAAAGCAGGTTGAGCAGGACAGGTTGAGCAGGAAAGGTTGATCAGGACAGGTTGAGCAGGATAGGTTGATCAAGACAGGTTGATCAAGACAGGTTGAGCATGACAGGTTGAGCAGGACAGGTTGAGCATGACAGGTTGATCAGGACAGGTTGATCAGGACAGGTTGGGCAGGATAGGTAGATCAAAACAGGTTGAGCAGGACAGGTTGAGCAGGACAGGTTGGGCAGGATAGGTTGAGCAGGATAGGTAGAAGAGAACGGGTTGATCATGGAAGGTTGATCACGACAGGTTGATCAGGACACGTTGAGCAGGACAGGTTGATCAGGACAGGTTGATCAGGACAGGTAGAACAGAACAGGTTGAGCAGGACAGGTTGGGCAGGATAGGTTGAGCAGGGCAGGTTGATTAGGACAGGTTGATCACGACAAGTTGAACAGGACAACATCCAGGATTCCACCCCACAGTTTGGGAGTGGAGTACAGCACGCAAAGTCAGCGGTCCTTCCCACTCAAGCTACCGAGGGTTCCACAAAAATTGAAGTGTGGTAATTGGGAGTCTAGATCGCTTGTCAGAGGCTCCGTTACAACATACGTTACACTGGAACAGTTTCAGGTCATTGTGTGTCCGTAATGTAATCGAGGTGTTCATGACCAACAAAGAGGATAATTTGACGATAGTCAGAACAAACGCCTTGAAACTTACGTAAAAATATACATAGACACAGATGCGTACATAAGGGTACTTCGCATTCACAATCGTTCATATTTATATTCCTTCAACAACATGAAGGGATAGTATAATGTAGTTAACTCATATATTTACCAAACACATTCACGGATTGTTGTATAAATTACACTGATTATCTAAACATATGTAGTTGTATTCATGTAGTATGAATAACACTGATTATATAAACATATGTATTTGTATTCATCTTGTATAAATTACACTGATTATATAAACATATGCATTTGTATTCATCTTGTTTAAATTACACTGATTATATAAACATATGTATTTGTATTCATGTTGTATTAATTACACTGATTATATAAACATATGTATTTGTATTCATGTTGTTTAAATTACACTGATTATATAAACGTATTAGGGCTGTATACCAGGATATTGCCCTGATTTTCATATTGCGATATATTGGAATAATTTAAGAGATATTGCAATACATATGGTGATATATTGACAGGAAGGTTTCTGCCCTAGTGTGTACATCATAAATTCATAATAGCTCTCTGTGTGCGACATCATCTTCTTAGTTGCTGTTACACCATACTTTCAGGCTCCCCGTCCCCATTGTGTATGGCTGTGTGCCAGTGGTTTACAGACAACTTAAATGATATAGAGCCTTAATGTGGAATTTTTAATTGAAGTATTGCAACAGAGTTTTGCGAACATAATGATAAAGGTAATAATATAACATGATTTTCATGGTCAGTGTTGTTTGCTTCGACGGAATGCACTTCATTGCAGTATGTAATTATTGTTACTGTATGTCAGTGATTCATTCAGATTCAACTCCAATATAAACATGTGTTAACATGAACTATTGCAAACTGAAACAAAAGCATGATTTGGTTTAACTACTTGAGATTAAAATCCAATAACTCAGAGCCAGATGCTCTACTCATAAGTCCAAATAAACAAATGGTCCATTTGAGGCCACTTAATTCCTCAAAATAAAACCATTCAAACCCACAAATCGTAAAGCCTTTGGTAGAATATATGGCACTTTCGGAGACACTTATAAAGCCCCTTCCACTTGTAACATGTTACATGAAACCAATAGAAATAAAAGCTGCACTTTTAGAGCACAGTTTGTGCCATCGAAATCAAGGGCAGATAATTCAAAAGGAGCTAACTCTGGATCACCCAGTATATTGCAGAATCTGAACTATATCGCGATAATCGTATCGCGAGATACTGTACCGGTATATACCGGTTTACCGGTAATATTGCACGGCCCTAGAACGTATGTATCTGTATACATGCATATACGTAAGGGCTATTTTTATAGACACACAAATTGTTTTAACCATACCGTTGCACAACAACACTAACGTGTGTACTATACTCATCGATCCACATCTGATGAACAACCGTTTACTGGAACACAGTCTCCTGTTATGGATACCGTTCCGGGTAAACATTACGTAACTAGCAGGTATACGCAGGCGCAGGCGCTCTGAACAACCGACTCACCTACATATGTATGTGAATCACACATCGCGGACTATCTGTAAGTATATTAAATTATCAATTAATTTGGTTCTGGTGGAAGTGGTCCATGATCATTCAAAATTTCATGTAATACTCGTGTTTACTGTATATTCGATTGCATGTAGTTGTAACAGATGCCTGTTTATTATTGTGACACAGCTTGGCACCTACTCGACTGTTTGAGTTATAGCCTGTATTGGTAATCCCCCATTACCCCTACATGCCACTACCCCTACAGCTTATAACAACATAGTTTACGGTCTGTTGCACTGTTAATCCACTGCCTGTTACCTATTCCACACAATGGACTAATCCACTTAAGAGACATAACAACACACAACTAAAAGGTTGAGAGAATGATTTTAATGAAAAGTGATCATCATTTGTCATCATCAAGATTTTAATAAGAATTAACAATAATTCGTCATCATGATTCTTTGTTGGACATTAACAATTAATTGTTAACATTCAATGTTAACATAGTCATTTGTGTCAAGTGGTGGCGGCTACCTCTCCCGGGCACAAACAAACTCAACATTACGCAGACCAGCCATGTTGATGCTATGTTAGTTTGTTGTCAACAGCTATATACTATACCGAACTATCTCAATTTACTTTCTCGTCTCACCTTCTCATTTCCCTCCACTTCTCAATAATACTAAGTATCTTTTATCATGGCACTAAAACAACTTAATTTCAACATTTAACAACCTACACATTATCCAATTTGTAAAATTGTTCTACTCACTAGGGGTTTATCTTTCATCATGAAACTAAAACAACTTTTAGCTAATCCCAAATTTCCTTGACACAAAACACTAAAGAACAGTTTAATCCCTCCCTTGATCTCATCTGTGTACTCTATGCACTAATCTCTCTTTGGGTCAGTTCATTATGCCAGACAGGTAAATGCCGTGTGTTGTTTTAACTAATTGTAGGGGTTATGGGATACAACCCCTGTATTTGATAACATGGTGACAGACCAGGATATAACGAGGCCTGATATCATCAGATATAAACTGCCTGACACGACATCTGACATTAGGTGTCCCCGTAATTGTTCGTCCTGGTTTAATCAATGTTGTGTATCTAAAGTTTTATTGACTAAAGCATATACAGAATAAAAAAATATATTACAGAAACAGTTTACGTCTTCTGTAGATACAGATGGCAGAACAGATATAAAATAGTGATCTGACAACCTTAATATTTAACAATTTCACACAGTCAGTCCACAACAACCTCAGCTCTTACGATGCACACGAAAAGTAATATATTCATAATAAAATTTTAAACATGTAATGATATCTCTCCTGCTCCATGCTGTAACAGTATTCACTATGATTGCAACACGCTTAGAAGACAGATATATTGTATGGTCTCCGCTGGCAGACACTTATCATTTGTTTGTTAGTCCGCTTGCAGTGCAGTTAGTTACTTAGTTATTTGTTTTATATAGCGTCGCCCGCACAACTGGTATTTCGGCGACGGGCCTGCAGTGCAGTAGTGTTGTTTCTATCTATACATCTGTGTCATCATGACCTAAGCAGCATGTAAATCAATACGATTCAGTACTATGCACTAACGAGCGCAACCTAATGAACGCCCCTAACTGGTTTGTCCTGAAAAAGACGAATCCACGTTGAACCTTTACGGGGTGATTCGTTGTAAGCGCAATGTATAATTCAATTTTTATCTGGTTTTCGTAGTTGTGATAGATTACACAATAATTTCTCCCGTTTGAAAAATAGCTCCTCCATCCAAACATATTCTTCCAACTAACGAGTCAGTTAATTACTACCTTGATTTTCAGAAAATGTATCACTATTCTTCAAAACAGCCCATTCAATTCCAAATAACAACCTTCCCGTACCCTAACACATCTCACACAAATGAATGAATGCCTTGGCAAAATCAATACCCACACAATAAAGTCTAACCTTTTTTCCAACCACTTCATTAACTAATCAAACATTAAGAATTTAATCAATGATTAGTGTTTAATTGATGATTACATAATTACGCGTTGATACAACTGGGTCCAGGTCGTTTTGGAAGTCCCGCCATGTTGCAGCGTACAGTCCTTGAAATTTTCCAGACAAACTCTTCATTAAATCTACACTATTCAGCTTTCTCTCACAATGTAAATGATCCCACTTCTGACACCAAGTTTCAACCATATTCTCAGGTTCATGTCCTGGACCCGGTTGTATCAACACGTAATTATGTAATCATCAATTAAACACTAGTCATTAATTAAATTCTTAATGTTTGATTAGTTAATGAAGTGTTTAAATACGGTTGTTTAAACCCTTATTTAAACACCCATTAACTAAGTATGCCTCTAATATAGGTCCCGTCATTAAACCATGATTAACTTAGGGGAATCCCCTAATTATTATCCATGATGCATTGCAGGTAACCACTCATCTATAGGGCCCGTAAGTAGGTCACGGCACTTCGCGAGAGATTACGTTGTTTAGTTCTTCCGGTGACAAACAACGTTTTTCGGCAATGGCGATAACACTGTTACATTGGGTATGCCGTGGATAATCATACTCGACACTGGCTGTGTGAATCATAAACCTATGCCATGTAACATTGACTGCTAAAACACTAAGGCAATGTTGCATGAACAGCACGTGAATATTTGCCAAACAGATGCAGAGTTGTCACAGCGTCGTCTTCAGGCTGGCCCATTCATTAGTCGAGGTAAGTTTGTTACATGGATTTCTTTGTTTTCATTTAAAGGCTGGTATTGTTTAAGCATGGCACGCACAGTAAGGGTGGAGTTGACATGTGTGCAGATTAGTTAATCAAGTTTGATTGCATTTGATATCTTTCAGTGGGATTTTATTGTCCCCGGAGAGGACCCTAATAAAATATGACAGGCATGTATCCGGTATAATGCATGTGTACCCAAAACTGTGTTAATAAATAAAGTATCTTGCAGTTGGAATTATCCAGAAGATAACTTAATGTGCAATGAAAATCCAGGTGTAATTCTAAAAATAAATGTAATGAATTAAATAATAATTTAATAGTGCGTAAACAATGATGATTATATCCACACTTTGATTGATACCAATAGCTCTGAATAGGTGTCTCTCACAAATGTATTCTGTAATATGAGCTTGATTAATATATTATTACAACCCCATTTAGCATTTGGTTATGGTGCAGCATGTTCAGCCACAAACATAACATCCACATGCTTAATTTATCATCAATATCTTGATGTCAACATTGTAAGGAACTGTTTTAGTGTTTACATTTTATTAAGTATATCATACTTGGTCTAACGTGTTATGTATTTTTTCAGTTGGAACAGATGCACATCTTTAAGAGGAGAAAGAAGGAGGAATAGGTTTCTTTATCACCACAATTACCATTGACATCAAGAGCAACACAAACTGAAACAGATCTTCAGATTTCTCTTTAACATCTGGTGGTCAAGCAATATACATTGCAAATGAAGAAACAACAAGTCATTGAAATGTTGTATGTACAGTTATAAAACATATTAAAGCCCCACGATCATCCTTTGGAAACTTGCTGAACAGGAAATGCTTGTAACCAGCAAGGTGTTTTGGAAAGTCTTGTGACATCTTGGGACTCTCAGATAATTCAGTGAGAATTTAGATGAATGACCATGAAAGAACATTTGTATTCCAGATGATACTGTTACAGTATTTTTTCAGGTTTAGCATCTGGGAAATGCAAAGAATGTTTGATATGTTATGAGTAATTATGTCTTTGGAATAAACTTGCAGAATAGTTCTAAAACTTGTTTATTGTTTTTTTAAGTGTGGATAAAGCAAGCACAAATTTAATGGTTTGGAAGATTTCTGCTTTTAGCCATGATATTGATTTGACAGTAAATATAGAACGATGGATGTAGGAGATTAGATTTTCAGTGTATATAGCAAAGGTTTCCAAGTGAGAGAGTTGGGTTTTACACTACTTTTAGCAATATTCCAGCAACATAATGCTTGGGAGAGCAGCAATGTTACCCTACTACTCCAGTTTCCATGAAAAAACATGCTTTCAAATGAAAAGTTAAACTTAATCAATGGCATAGGCATGTGATTCTACATGACATGGAATTTTGTTGAAATATGAAATTCTTTGTTTTTATTTGCTGTAAGATTACAACACTGGTTCATAGCACAATAACCAGTACACATTATTCTTTTCCATTATTTTAAAACATATTGGTCTAACTGTATAGTGGAAAATATGGAATGCCAGTTACCAACCTTGGCCTCATTGGCAGAATATTTGGAATATGTAAGTTACTAAATACACGGGTGAAAACACTATATTACATGACAAGTAGTCATACTCATGCTGCTATCAGCCAGTGTCTGCAGAATCTACAGTCATGACATAGTATATATGCACATTTAGTTTCCCCATGTATTGATCAGTATATTTTACAATACAGGAAATGTCTTTGAGTGATTACTCCAAATTTTGAGTGTATTTGGTCTTGCATTTTTTGCCAATTGTGACTTGAAGGTGCTGTGTGCTGCTTCATATTTTTGCTTACAGCATAGCAGAACTTCACCCCTGCATAACCAAGAACTAAGTAACACTCATGTACTTTAGATCATAGTACATTGTACACTCACCCCAAGACATCCAGTACAAAGTGTAATAAATATTGTGCAACAACCAGTTTTTATAAATCACTTCTATAATAATGTTTACATAATTTGATAAATAATTGCTTCATGATGAATATTCATATGCCTGAGGGTTTTCACATTTTCTTTTGAATATCTCACAGTAGTAACCAAAATAATTGTAACCATGCCATCAAAGGTTATTTTGTCGAGCTGTTGATTGATTTGTGACACTATGACTTGTATTAATGAATCAAAACGTCACCATAAATGGGAAAGTTCATATATTTATAAAAAAAATTATGTTACAAGAACTGCTTTTATACCAGGCATTGGGAAAGACAGTGGCCATTTGAAACATTAGAATAAAAAAATGCCCCATTAAAATTTT